ATGGTACTCAGGGACAGATGGATAGCAGGGAAAGGGCTTTTGCATGGGTGAATGGGCTCAAGCTGGGTATGTTACTCTCATCAGCTGCACCTCTGTCTCTCACTGAGTGCAGATCAGTCCCTCAGCCACAATGAACCCTTGGAAACAAGGCTTGCAGAAGGTGACTCTGTCAAGTCCACGTCCTGTGCCCTGGACAGTGTAGACAGCCTCTCTTTGGGTGTCTTGAGTCTTCTCAATTAATTCTAGATGATGAGATATCTCGATTTGAGTGTGAGTGTGTGTGTGTGTTGTCTAAGCCATCTGTTGAGGGTGTCTTGAGTGACCTTTACTGCAGTCTCCCAGCATGTGAGAGGAGTCCTCTGTCCATGCTGATGTGTTTTGCAGTGGAAATGCTTGGGCCTTTCATCCTGTCACACAAAAGATGCCTCTACTGGGCAATGTGCCTGGCATAAAGGAGGAAATGGAAATACAATAATTCAGGAAGCCAAAACACAGTCCATAGCATTAGCTGGGATGTTTTGCATTCAAGAGGAGCTTGTCAGCAAATAATGCCCTCTGCAAGGGATGCCTCTGGCTGCCTGGGGCAGTTAAGGTCCATGATAAAAGCCCACCCAGCTCCTTGCTCTCTCATCCACTTCTCTTGCCTCCTTCTCCTTGGGAACCAGGTGAGTCTGAACCCCCTTCTCTTGCTCTGCTGTCTCTAAAAGGAGGTCTCACTTCAGTGGAGCTCTCAGCTGATGCCAGCTTTGTTCTCTGCCAGGTCATGGGGCTGCTTGTCACGAGAGAGGGAAGTGGGGAGAAGGTTAGACACAGAGGGAAGTTGTGTCTGTGCTGTGTTGGCATCTGGAGTCAGGTGCCAGGCAGTAGCTGGTGGCTCTTTTGGGCCCTGCCAGGAAAAAGCCAAGAAGTCCTCACATGTCTCTGCACAGCCTCTGTCCCCCAGCCCCTGTCCCCCAGCCCTGCATGTTTTTTGGTTCCCCCATCGTGTTGTGACAGGCTGCTCCTCATGCGTCATCATGTTTTGCTTCCTCACTGCCCTCTCTCCCAGGTGCACCTCCAGCCTTGAGACATGTACTGCTCTGACGAGTGCCGGCCATGCCACCCTTGCTGCCAGCCCTGCTGCCCGACCCCGCTGGCCAACAGCTGCAATGAGCCCTGTGTCAGGCAGTGCCAGAACTCAACCGTTGTCATTGAGCCCCCTCCCGTGGTGGTGACCCTGCCCGGACCCATCCTCAGCTCCTTCCCACAGAACACTGTGGTAGGATCCTCCACCTCTGCTGCTGTTGGCAGCATCCTCAGCTGTGATGGAGTGCCCATCAACTCTGGCTGCTGTGACCTCTCCTGTATTTACAACCACTACTGTGGCAGCAGATGCCCCCCCTGCTAAAGTTGCTGGCAACAACTCTGGATAAGGACCCCTTGGAACTCAGAACATGTTGCTGGACAGAGGGTCACTCTTCATGCCATTGTTTTAAGAGCAGCTGAGCATCTCTGGGTGCCCTTCAAGGCCAGACTGAAGGGATCAGCCTGCGCTCTCTGAAAACACAGTCAATGTTTATCTTTCCTGTCTTCCACTCATCCTTTTTCTCTCTCTCTTTTGTTGTCTGGTGCTCCCCTCAAAGCCTGCTGTGAGGACCTCAGAAGCCAGCCTGGATGGACCTGCTAGCCTGTCTGCCTTTGCTGGGTGGGTCAACACATGCCCTGTGGGAACTCTGTCACC